GAGCTCGTGAAACACCAGCGCGTCCACACAGGAGAGAGACCCTTTAAATGCTTCGAGTGTGGAAAGGGTTTTTCGCGGCAGTCCGTGCTTGCCAACCATCACCGGATCCACACAGGAGAAAAACCTTACGAGTGCATGGAGTGTGCAAAACGTTTTGCTCAGAGGTCACAACTCATCCGACACCAAAGGGTCCACACGGGGGAGAAACCTTATAAATGTCTGGAGTGCGGGAAGTGTTTTGCCCGTCATTCGGTTCTCATCAATCACCAGAGAGTCCACACCGGAGAAAAACCGTACAAATGCTTACAGTGTACCAAATGTTTTGCCCGTCAGTCTGTCCTGGTGAGCCATCAAAGAGTCCACACTGGAGAGAAGCCCTACATGTGTCAGGAGTGCGGCAAACGCTTTGCTCATCAGTCAAACCTTGTCAACCACCAGAGAATTCACACGGGGGAGAAACCTTACAAATGCTTGAACTGTGGGAAAGGTTTCGCCCAACAATCCGATCTCGTGAAACACAGGAGAATCCACACAGGGGAGAAGCCTTACAAATGCCCACAGTGTGGGAAGTCTTTCGCGATCCATTCAGAGGTTGTGACTCACCAGAGGGTCCACACAGGGGAGAAGCCCCACAAATGCCCGTGTGGGAAGTGTTTCGCTCAGCGTTCGGCTCTCGTGAGTCACCAACGCGTCCACACGGGAGAAAAACCGTACAAGTGCCTGGCGTGTAAGAGATGTTTCGCTCAGCTCTCCAATCTTGTGAAACACCAGCGGATCCACACAGGAGAGAAACCCTATGAATGCTTAGAGTGTGGGAAATGTTTTAGGCGGCGTTCCCATCTCAAGGTCCACCATGGAGTTCATTTGAGGAGTTAGGCCCAGTGATGACGACTTTAAACGGGACGACAGCTTTGAAGGCCAAGGAAATGTTATTCGGTATAGTTTGGCCAGTGGTGGGATTCAAATTTTTTTTACCACCAGTTCTATGGATGTGGCTTGGCGTGGTGTGGCTTGATGGGCGTGGCAGGGGAAGGATATTGCAAAATCCCCATTCCTTCCACATCCCACTAACCTGCTTTCCAGCTCCGTTCTCCTGTACAGGGCAACAAAAGAAGACCCAGCCGATCAGCTGGGACTTGGGAGACAGAGAATAGATGGGGGCGGGGCCAGTCAGAGGTGGTGTTTGACGGTTCTCCAAACTACTCAAAATTTCTCAAACTACTCAAAATTTCCGAAAATACGGGAAGTGACGAAACGGGCCTAGTTTTTGGCCTGCAGAAGCCTTCCTCAAGCCTCTGGGAGGCTGAAAAGGCCTCAAACCTCCAAACTACTCAAAATTTCCGCTACTGGTTCTCCAGAACTGGTCAGAACCTGCTGAATACCACCTCTGAGTTCGGCGGACTCAAATGGAATACATTCTGAATAATTTACATGTAGTTTTTTTTTTAAAAAAAAGGCTCTTGAAAATAACGCTTCGTTGATGCCGATGGAGGAAGACAGATATACTGATGACACAAGTAATGTTGAAGACAAATGCACAACTAAATCGACTGAGGACTGAGTTTTAATGTCAGTTGCACATGGAGCCCTAGTGGCTCAGTGGTTAAAGTGCAGTATCGTAGGCTATCACTGCCCACAGCCAGGAGTTCGATCCTGATGGGGCTCAAGGTTGACTCAGCTTTCCATCCTTTTGATGTCAGTAAAATGAGGAGTGAAATTGTTGGGGCCAATAATGCAAATAATGCTTACATTGTAAATCACCCAGAGAGTGCTATATCACAGAGTTCCCCAATCTTTCTGGGTTGATGGCCTGGAGGGAGGGAGGGGCAGGCGCCTTTACCCATGTATGCGCACAAGCGAACGGGGCTCTCACAGCGATGGTGGTACCTATGTGGCACTTGCAACGAAGCTAGCATGAGTGGGCAGATGTACATGTGTACAAATGCCCACAATGGCCAGACACTCACACAGCCCTGTGTCCAATAGGACACCGTCCGGTAGTGGGCTGCAGCCCACAGATTGGGGATTCCTGTATATCAGATTAAACTATGGCACATGTGCTACAGGTGGCATGCAGAGCCATTTGTGCCGGCATGTGAGCTGCAGGCAAACTTACCTCACTGCGCATGCGCGTGCCTCACAGATGATTTTCGGGCAGTTTGAGGCCTTTTTCAGCTTCCCAGAGGCTTGAGGAAGGCTTCTGCAGGCTTTACAGGCCAAAATCTAGGCCCGTTTCATCACTTCCTGTTTTTCCGAAAATACAGGAGGTGACAAAACGGGCCTAGTTTTTGGCCTGCAGAAGCCTTCCTCAAGCCTCTGGGAGGCTGAAAAGGCCTCAAACCGACCGAAAATCAGCTATGAGGCGCAGTGCAGGTAAGGGGGCGACGGGGGGTGGGTGGGGATTGCGCGTGCATGCGTAAGGGAGCGGGGGGGGGGGGCCACGCATTGCCTTCTGGGTGCTGGCACACAAGTGTGCAAGCCGTGCACCATTTTTGGCACAGGAGCCCAAAAAGGTTAGCCACCGCTGGACTAAATGCTACTGCTGGTACTATGTAGAGCAATTGGTTCAGTTGTTCATGTTGTATCTCCCACAACGTTTTGGGTTCATCAGTTTTCCCGTTGTTTATCTTTCATCAGAACAACCTCCCAAGTGTTTCCAAACAACAGCAACCTAGCCACAGAGACGAGTGTCAATACTTGGGTGGGCTCTATTGAAGTGGTGCTTTCGATGGCTTTTTTCCTGGTTGTCACTGCACCTTGTCAACGAAATTAAATACCATCTTCAGTGCACATCATGACAACAAAATAAACACAAACACACATCCCTCACATTCCATACAATTGAATTGAAAACCCCTGATATTGCATTAATATTGCACTATACAGTAGAATTCAACAGAGTTACTACCCTGGGATGGAAGCTGTTTTTCAGCCTAGTTGTCCTCGTTTTTATTGTCCTGTACCGTCTGCCAGATGGTAATAGTTAAAAAAAAAGGATGCCCAGGATGAGATGGATTTTTAAGAACGTTTTGCACTTTCTTAAGGCAGCGGAAGCTATAAAGCTCTTCCAAAGAGGGGAGAGGGCAACCAATGATCTTCTGGGCAATGGCGCCAACCCTCTGGAGCGCTGTCCTATCTGCCCCTGTGCAATTGGCAAACCATACACAGGGGCATTAAGTTAAGATATTCTCTATGGTGCATGGAGGAGGATGCCTTGTTGCTCTAATGATACTCATGATTGCTAGTCTAAAGTGGTATATAGGGGTAAAATATAATGCCGTATTCATCCTATAACTTTCCGATGTGATAAGACTGCAGTTCCCAGGATGCCCCAGTTAGCATGCCCCCAAATTTTTAAGTGTCATGCCTCCGCATAAATTTTGCGTATGTAATTATGTATTTTTATTGCTATTGTTGTTCTTTAATGTATCTTGGGCTCCACTTAGTGGCCAAACATGTCTCTTTATTGGGAGCCGGCCCTTTAAGGGTCATCTTCCCAGCATCCCTCACTCCCAAAAATGCATCCTTGGGGATGCTGGACTCCTTTTACTTTAGGATTTGGAAGAAGCAGAAGCACCAGGAAGAATCCAACTGGGGCACATGTTCATCTGAGGACAAAAATCCACATCATATGCCCATGGCATTGCTGTTTCATCGTCCTGTTCCTTTAATAAAGCATCCAGACCAAGAGTTCTTCAAATTTGGCAAGTTTAAGACTTGTGGACTTCTACTCCCAGAATTCCTGAGCTAACATGACTGGAGGAGGAATTCTGGGAGTGGAAGTCCACAAATTTTAAAGCTTTCAAGTTTGAAGAGCTCTGCTTTAGAACAGTGTTTTTCAAACTTGGCAATTGGAAGACTTGAATTCTGAAAATACCTGGTGCAAGTTTTAAGAATTGGTACTGTGTAATTAAATATTAAATTGTGGGACAAGAAGGAGGGATGAATTATCTGTAAAAACTTTTGCCAGATTTCTCTGACTTGAAATTGAAATTGTCCTGGTTTGAGAAGTTTGTGATGTCTACAAAAATTCTTTTTTTTTTTTGAATTAGTAATTTATAAAGCAGTTATTGTCATCAATTAAATATATAAAACAACCCTCTGCCCAGTTTCATCTTCCTTCCTTTTAGCAGGTTGCTGCTTTTAATTTAGCCTTTTTATGCTATAAGTTTAGTTGCACAGAAATCATCAAAGATACCACAGCCACTACACCACAACCACTGAATATACCATTTATTTATACATAGTAAGCTCCAGTGCTTTAGTTAGACATGGTGCTGTAATATAAAAAAAATGGCTAGTCCGATTCAGAATTATGAAAATGTGCCTTCAGTTTATGCATGGAAGGCAACTGATTGTACATTTTGGCAAAACTAAGTAACACGGGGAAGTGGGGGAGTTTCGTTGCATTGTATGTCCCAAAGGTGCTTTTTCAAGAGACAACTGGACTTCCTTGTTTTTTCCTTGAAGACATTTCACTTTTCAGCAAATAAGCTGCTTCAGTTCTTGGATGAGAAGTGAAGTGTCTTCAAGGAAAAAACCTGAAAGTCTAGTTGCCTCTTGAAAAAGCACCTTTGAAACAACCATGACCTGGATGAAATTTTTCAGATAATCAGAATTGGAAGGGACCTTGTAGGTCATCTAGTCCAATCCCCCGCCCAAGTGAGAGACCCTACACTATTTCTGACAAATGGCAGTCCAGTCTCTTCTTGAAAGTCTCAAGTGATGGCGTTCCCACAACTTCCAAAGGCAACTTCTGTTCCATTGGTTGATTGTTCTCTCTGTCAGAAAGTTTCTCCTTATTTCCAGGTTAAATCTCTCGTTCAGTTTCCATCCATTATTCCTTGTCTGGCCTGACAGAATCTCCATAGAGATTCCACTGTATGAAAAATATGTCAGGCCATGATGCTTAAACTGAGCCCCCATATTCAGGAATAACATATCTGAATAACTGCTATATAAATAAAATGTGATAGAAGAGGAGAGTGTGATAGAAGAGGAGAGTACCTTTATGTCTTACTTGTGGGTCTCCAAAACAGTGGCTGCAGAGCATACTAACTGGGAGAGCCAAAGGTGCTTTTTATTTTATTTTATTTTATTTTATTTATTTATTTAGTCAAGAGATTATAAGATAACAGGTATAAATATAAACATAGTTATGAATGCATGAAATGGATATATATAAAGAAAAAAACAAACAATAGGAGGGACGGTAGGCACGTTTTTTTTCTTTGAAGACCTTTCGCTTCTCATCCAAGGAGATTCCTCAGCTTCTTGGGTGAGAGAAGAATCCTAGCTGGGGGAATTCTGGGAGTTGAAGTCCGCCCATCTTGCCGCGCCTGACATTGAGAAACGCTTTTGAAGTCGTGGAAGGAAAGGAAGACTACGAGTCCCAGAAGCGCCTCCGGTTCTATTCGGGGGAAGGGAAGCACATCGGACCACAAATCCCAGCGGCCATTGGGCCTTCCTGATTCCAGATTCGAAAGGCCGGATTGGCTAAAGGGCGACAAGACGCGATGGAATTGTCAAAAAAAAATATGGAGGCGGTGGAGGCGCCCGGGCAGGTAAGGAAGCATTTTTGGGGGAGGGGGTTGGAGTAGGTGGAAGGCAGCCAAAGGCGGGGGTGGGATCCCCTCGCGCGATCCCTCGATCTATTGCAGGGGGATCCTCTCGTTCTTCGTACTTTTGGAGGGGTGCAGAAAACTTTGCATCACGGAGCTGCGGGGTGAGAGAGGAGGAGAAGAGAAAAGATGCATCCTCGATTCCCGCTTTGCTGTGGGTCACGAGTCGATCGAGAGAGTTCGCAAAGTTCTTGCGATCTGGGAAAAGGGATGGGAGGGAGACGTGGGAGCAGGCAAAAGCGAGGTGATCTCTTATTTTGGAGTGGGTAAAGGGCGTCGCAGGGCTTTCTCCAAGCCTCGGCTTTCCAGATGTGTTGGGTTGCATCAGCCGCTTGGTTGCTTAGTAGCGGTGATGGGGTTTGTAGTCGGAGGCATTTGGCAAGGTGGCACATGGGAATGAGTGGGGAATGAAGTTAACGTGGACTAGGGAGCGTTTCAGGATTATGGAAGGAGAGATGAGACTGAGAATTACGCAGTTGCCTAAATTCAGCCTCTTTCCGCAAATGGAGCGTTCGCCCTCACCGAGTCCTGCAAAAATAATAATTAAAAAAAGCAACGGTTTATTTCATTTCTGGGTTGCTTCTTATATTTCATGTCGTATGTTATTCCAGGTTTTAGGGAGGTACCCAGCAGTAGTTTTTGTATCACAAGCTGGTTGCTCTGAAAAACACTATTCTTCAAACAAGAATGTGCTGTCTTGAAGTCCCAAGAGATTGTTTAGCTACTTCATATGTTCATGTTGTTATATTTTAAATGCCTGGGAATGGGGAAAAACACTTCTCATATATGACAATTTGGGGGCCTGTGGATATTGAATGTCCAGGCTGGGGTGAAGATGTGTTTTCGTTCAAGCAGTAAAATGCCTTAGTTGGACTTCTGTAGAAAATGAGGAATGATAAAACAAAAAGGAGACTCCAGGTCTTGAAGCCTGCATGTATTGCATGGTTGAAACAACTGAATCACTAACAAGTAAATCCTATATATGTTCCCACAGAGGTAAATAACCACACAGAGGACTGAGCTCTAAATGCTATGATAATTTTCTCCAGTAGTAAACCTGGCTGGGATAATGGAATATGACTTTAGTCCACTGACAACAATTCCTGAGAGTCACATTAAGGTGAGAAAGTTGGCTTCCTTTTCACACAATGGGCAAAAACACTGTTCAGTTAAGTGAGCAATCTGCAGACTTTTGTACCAGGTCCCAAGATTCTTTTGCTGGAAGGGATGTTGCTGAGAATTCTGGGAGTTGAAGTCCACACAGTTGGGGGAAACTTGTTGGGGAGCAACGCTGTTTTAGCTGGGAGATCTCATGTCAGGAAATGGACCATTTCTGAATGCAGCATTGAAGTCTACTTAGAGCAGTGTTTCTCAACCTTGGCAAATTTAAGATGTGGGGATTTCAACATAGAATTTTTCAGCCAGTGATGCTCACTGGGGAATTCTGAGAGTTGAAATTCAAATATTTTAAAGTTGGCAAGGCTGAGGAACCCAGAATCTACAAAGTATATTAAGTCTGGATTGGATAAGAGATAGATTTGGATCTGTTTGCAATACTGCTGAGTGACTTAAAAGAGCTTGGAAGGATTTCTGACTTCCAATTAGTACAGTATTTCATACAGGATTACTGTTTTTCAGTAGCTCCATAAATGAGATTTCTATTCCTGTTTTTCTGTTTCAGTTTTAAATGTATTGAAAATCATGCTGAGGAACATAAATGGGAAATGCTGAAATCACACTTGAAAAGTTCCCTGAAAAATCTAGTTGAGCACAGTGCAAAGGGATAATGGATTAGGTAGTACTTTTCCACAATTTCACTTCCAGAATTGCAGAATTTAGTAACCACATCTAGGCCTCAATGACTAAGTACCTTTGTTTATCTGTAGATTTGCTTTTTGTAGTCCTTACATCCCATTTGGCTTACAGACCAGAATTTGCAATGAGAAACTCTGCCCCCATCAAATGTTGTGCCAATCTGAAGGTGTGGAATGGAGCACATAGCCTGCAATTTGTATTTTTGAAAGAGTAAACTGCTTATAACCTAAGGATACACTTTCACAAGGTCTTGACTAGTGAATCGTTTTGCTTTCTACCGATTATCATGAGACTATTTTAATTTGATGCATGGCTTCATAAGTTGAACCAGAATTCCACTGGTTAGCTATACAGTCATATAAATGTAATAAGTACATTTAAAAAATAAGTAATAAGCTAGCTAGATACATATGCACACATACGTATCTTTTAAATGTTATTTTTCTTACAGAATTCAGTGACATTTGAAGATGTGGCTGTGTATTTCACAGAGGACCAGGGGGCTCTGCTGGATCGAAAACAGAGAACTTTGTATGAAGATGTCATGGTGGAAAATTATGGGATTGTGGCCTCGCTGGGTAAGGGGCTAGATGAAAAGCCGATGTGTATCTTCTATGGCCAATGAGACACAGAAATACTGGGATTGTAGAATGCTTTCTGTCCTATAGGAAATGAGAGCAACCACAAGGGAATTCTTCATTAAGCTTCTAGGGATGTTGCAGAAAAAGTTTGGACCATTTTATTGACAGTGATCACCCTTCCTTGATTATACATTTCTTAAATTAAACATACGGAAAGTCTGTGGAGATTCTCAATCATCCAGGTCATGGTTTTCCCAAAGGTGCTTTTTCAAGAGGTAACTGGACTTTCTGGTTTTTCTTTGAAGACATTTCGCTTCTCATCCAAGAAGCTTCTTCAGCTCACAGCTGAAGAAAACCCAGAAAGTCCAGTTACCTCTTGAAAAAGCACCTTTGGATGCCAGTCAAGTTGGGGGAAAACTTCTTTGAAGAATTAAACAAACACATTTCTAAATTTATATGGCAGAAGAAAAAAGCCAGGATAAAGTATAAATTATCACAAGATGCTAGAGAGAAGGGAGGGCTTCGGTCTCCCAGAACTTGAATTATACCATCAGGCTGCTATTGCCACATGGCTTAAAGATTGGGTCGAACTGACAAGGGTTTCGACCTTCAACTTAGCTGGCATGCGTTCATCTGGGATGGGAAGAGTAAATAACATTTGTATTTTCAAAGGCATTGGATGAGAAATGTTCTGTTAAATACCTGGGAAAAAATAAAAAGGAACCATTATCCCAGGGTTCCATTGTGGCTATCAACAATGGAAGCAGTTATACACGCCAATGTCCTGGACCACAATAAAATTACAAAGTATAGAGATTTATTAAAAGAAAAAGGAGAACTAAAAACCAGGAACCAACTACAACTCCAGGGAATCAAGATAGGATGGCGGCCCTATTTACAAATACAAACACATTACAAAAAAGATAAAGAACAATTTGGTTTTAGCATGACTCAACAAGAACTAGATAAGATATGGCATGGGGAAGAAAGAAAAATGATCAGTAAAATCTACAAATATTTATTAGACTACAAGCTAAAAGAGGAAACTGTTAAAGATTGCATGATAATTTGGGCCAAAAATGTGGGCCATAATATTAATTTAGACTAGTGGGAACACCTCTAAGCAGATAAATCAGAGACCAACAATGTCAGCCTCTTACAAATAAAATGTATATAAAATGGTTCATTGTTGGCATCTACCGCCAGCGAGAATAGCCAAGATGTTCCCCAATATGACACCGAACTGCTGGAAGTGCAACTACATTCAAGGAACCTATTTCCACATGTGGTGGACTTGCCCATATGCACAAAAATTTTGGATATTAGAAATAAAAAAGAGGAACTAAAATTTGAACCTGAAATTTTTTTATTAGGCATGATAGAACTAAATTCGAAAAAGAAATACCAGTACTTAATCTTGCATATCCTAACTGCAGCCAGAATAAGCTTTGTCCAAAACTGGAAACTGGCTACGACCCCCTCAGAAAACATGGTAATCAACAAAATACACTGCTCAAAAAAATAAAGGGAACACTTAAACAACACAATGTAACTCCAAGTCAGTCACACTTCTATGAAATCAAACTGTCCACTTAGGTAGCAACACTGATTGACAATCAATTTCACGTGCTGTTGTGCAAATAGAATAGACAAGAGGTGGAAAGCAAAGGCAGTTAGCAAGACATCCCCAATAAAGGAGTGGTTCTGCAGGTGGTGACCACAGACCACTTCTCAGTTCCTATGCTTTCTGGTTGATGGTTTGGTCACTTTTGAATGCTGGCAGTGCTTTCACTCTAGTGGCAGCATGAGACGGAGTCTACAACCCACACGAGTGGCTCAGGTAGTGCAGCTCATCCAGGATGGCACATCAATGCGAGCTGTGGCAAGAAGGTTTGCTGTGTCTGTCAGCGTAGTGTCCAGAGCATGGAGGCGCTACCAGGAGACAGGCCAGTTCCTCAGGAGACGTGGAGGAGGCCATAGGAGGGCAACAACCCAGCATCAGGACCGCTACCTCCGCCTTTGTGCAAGGAGGGACAGGAGGAGCACTGCCAGAGCACTGCAAAATGACCTCCAGCAGGCCGCAAATGTGCATGTGGCTGATCAAACGGTCAGAAAAAAAGAAAAAGCACCTTTGGGACACTTCAAAAAGCTGCCCTTAAGACTTATTTTTCAAAAAACTCACTTTTGTCCTTTATTTTGGTTATTTACTGTACAAATGATACCGCTTAATGCAGAGTTCTTCATGTTCATGGGGAAAACATGAATGTTTCACATGATCACATTAAGGACATTTGGCAACCAGCTTTGCATTTAGGACTGTTTGTACTGTCTGGCCATGTTTCTGCTTTTGGTTTTGGTGTTTTTTTGCACAATTTCCAACACCCCCCCCCCCCCAAAAAAAAAAACCAATCCATTTGGGGGAGAGGAGTCATTTAATGACTGCATAATTCACTTACAACCTCTATAAAAAACGATAGAAAAATTGCATCCGGGCATGTGGGTGCTCCGACTTATCACAACTTATGACTGAAATTCTGATGCCAATTGTGGTCATAAGTTGAAGGCTTAACCTGCAAAGTTTTGTTACAGTTTGGGAGAGACGAATCTGGACCCAGGACTCAGGGAAGGAGGAAGGATCCAGCAAAGGCAAAAGATCCTTATTATTTTATTGGTCTTCTCCCTCAATTCAAATAATGTTTGGTTACGAGGTCTGCTGCATTTCTAATTCAAATGTATTTCAGTGAATTCCTAGGAAACCAGGCCTAGGATTATAATTACGGCAAAGATATTTGCTATTTGCGCTATGATTTAGATTGAGGTTGTACATTTCGTATGTTTTCCTTGTTACTTTCTGTGTGTGTGTGTGTGTGTGTGTGTGATCAATTTAGCCCTTGCACGTGTAATAGGCCCTTCCAACCACCTCCCACCTGTAATTAACTGTGTTGTTTTTACTTCAGTCGTGTTGGTCGATGGAAGTTTAACTCTTGTTATTTCCTCCCTTGTCAGGCCCAGCCTGGATTGCTTATCTCTAAGAAATGATGTTAACCTGCCAGCTGTTGCAATTTGTTGCTTTGCTCGTGACCTTGTGATGGCCGGGCTGGTTCTTCATTATTCCTGTCTGTTATAGCTTGAGGCAGCTCTGCTAGGCTCCTCTGTAGTTGGACAGGCCTGGCTGTGCCTTCATATGTGTATGTGTGTGTGTGCGTGTGTGTATACATATATACATATATACATACATACATATGGATCTTTGGTTATTCGGGTTTTCTCCTGCGTAAGATTGGAAGTATCTAGGCAACGTTTCGATGAAGTCTCATTCATCATCTTCAGGCTT